GTCTGCTGTGTGTCAAAAATGACTAAATCAGACTTTCAGACATTATATGGCCCAATCTTAATCTGTGATTTAAGATGACAAGTTAGCATAGTGATAGACCGATTATTTGGCATTTTGAGATAATTGCCATCGTCTGATCTCTAATCTCACAAGGCCAATAGATAAAAAATGTGTCCAGACACGTCTGCAGGCAGCCTTGTCAGTGTGGCTGCTGTGGAACGATGTTTTTTTTTACGCTTTGTGAGTTTTGGGAAAGTGGGGGAAAATGTTGGTGTCAAGCCCTGTACTATAACTCTTATGCATCCTGCAACATATGCATGAATTTCCAATAGAACAGAATAAAATTATACATGATATTTCTATAGGCCATCGGCAGCCTTGCTCTCTAAATATCGGCCAGTGAAAAACCAACATATCGGTCAACCACTATGTTAGCATTTTGTTAAAATGGACCCATTAAATTCTTACCACAGGAGGAAATGGTGTCTGTTCATTGCCATTCTCTCTCACCACTCCCATTAATTCCAGGAATTCAATGCTGGGCTAAACAAGAAAATATTGACGAATGATGTCAGTCAATAAGTTATAGACACAATTATGGCAAATTTACACATCACGAGTGAGTTTTTATAGAGATATCAGCGTGAGCAATAGATAATGATTATACTATAAGAGATCATCTGCTTTCATCATTCCACTGATATGTAATAACAAGCTTGTGAAAATCAAAAGAAAGGTCATTATCTACAAAAGAATCCTGTCTAACTGTGACGTGGGGGGGTGTGCCGGTGAATACCTCTGAGCTGACAGAAACCTGTGGAGATGAACTGTCAGTCAGGAGTGTTAATATAACCTGATTGAACAGCATGACATGTAGATGTGCTCATACCAATCCATGCTATTCACTTAGAGAGCAGTCTACACACATTACATGCAGGACAAAACAGTGAAGGTGTGGCAGACTTGGAAGTACAATGTGAGCTTGGTATCAAGTAAGATGATACCAAGGGCAATACATACATCCCATTCAACCCTAATTCAGGTTAAAGCATTACTATGTAGCCTTGATCTGTGTAAGGGTGGGTCTGCTACAGCACTGGAATGAGTTTCTGTGGGGAGTCTGCAGGGTTGGCATTCATGTTACAGACAGCAGCAGGCCTATGGCAACATAACAGAAGCTTGAAGTAGCTGGCCTCAGATCAGCTCCATTATGTATCGATACAATTTCTGTGTTAGTATGTATGAATAAGGTCACCTACCTGTCTCTTGTGGTCAGGCATGATGAGGAGGAGTTGAATGCAGATGCGACTTACCGGATTAAAAAAATAATAATAAAAGCCTCAGTCACCATTCAATGATCCCACAGCCTGTGCCTCGCTCACCGATCGCCCGACTATAAAAATGACATGAGGGCTCATGAGCAGGCAGTAGGCAACTTCCGTACTTCCTCCAGGAACAAACGTGTTGTTGTATTACGAGCTCAGGAATGTAAAAAAAGCGACTCTACCTGTTGCTGGTGTCACAGCATTAATATTTGTAGCCTCCACCTTTTTTTTTTTTTTTTTGTTCAGTTGAGTCAGTGCAGCGATGTGGTTATCAAAACATAAAACAACAAACAAACAGCCTCTACTGTGTGTGTCAGTATCTGCAGACAAATACAGACTATGTCGGTGGCGCTTGTCAGGTGCAGTGGAATGGCTTGTATTTTCTGTTGCCTCCTCCTCACTGATGCATAATGACACACACCCACCGCTAGATGGAAGCAGACGCATTGGCTTTAACAGCCTGTTAATCACTGATACTGACTTGGCTGTGACTGAGTCATCCTACACACATCAGTCAGCACTGACTGTGACATTTGTTGTTTGTTTTGTTTTTTTAAAGAAATAATGCATCAACACTTCTACACTTTGAGTCATGAAATTACAATTTTATAACATTTCGAGGTCCTTAATGGAAAAGGCTGAACAGGTTCATTATTATTCACAGTAGAATAGGATGTTAAGTCTTGAGTGAACAACCTAACATGAAAATAAAGACAATAAAGATAGGTTATTGTCAATATTAAAACCTAGATTCATCATAAATATCAGGTTGATCGGTAGTTTATTCTTTGGAGGCATTAAGCTACCATTAGTTCAACAAATAACTGCAACAAACTGTCATGGTTTTTTACTGTTTTTTTCTCTCTTGTACAGTGTTTATATTATATTATATTATATTATATATATATTTTTTTTCATACTGTTCTTAT